ACGTGGAAGGATTTCCTCAACAAAACATTGGAAACACAATCTAGGACATCCAATTGGTTCACAAGCTATAATGAGCCAGCCATTCTTCTGAACATGCTGAACATTATACCTGCAAAGCAGCTACAATGATGAGCATCACCATTGTCAGCACATTCTCTGTTTCACTCAAACCCCAACCTGGTGTTGCTGGTTCATTGGAATCTGATCAGGTTTCCCTTGTAATAATAGTTTTCTTTCTCTGTGCATTATTGTTTTCATAATAGCTGAGAGAACAGCCTTAAAGAGACTGAAACCCACACCTAAAGGTTGCCAGTGCCGTTTCAGACATTTGAAACCATCGAAATTTTCCAACCCCGCTGCGGGACCTGGAAATAGTGTCCCCAACACCAAAAAGAAAGACACCAGTGGAAATCTGAGATCTGTTTATAGCAGTTTTACTAGGTGCTTTTAGCAAAACATGGATGAACGTGATGACTGAACAACTTTAGATCAGTGTATTTTCAGCCTGACATTGACAAACACTGATGGCTCCTGTCAGTTTAAATGAGACACTCTTTCACCTTGTCAGCTTGTCCTAGCAGCCCCCCCCCACACACGCACACATCTATCATACACTCTGTGTGTGTGGGTTGAGGTGCACATGTGTGCACGTGAGACAGACTGTTTCCCTGTTGGATATGTGATCTAGTGGAGAAACATACCCATGCACACACCATTGCTGCCAATACATTTCCCGCTCAGTGCACTGAAGGAAGCAGGGGAGCTCGACTGACACAATTACACAAGTTCCTGCAGGAGGAAATGCAATCATTGTTGCCGCAGGTAACAGCAAACTGGGGACTACCTGCTAGTCAAGCCCTGGGATAAACAGATGTACAAACACAGCCCATCGTGTGAGCTCAGCTGCCAGATGTTAGACAGGTTCCCCTTCCTCCAGTCAATGAACCCCACATATCCCTTAGTGTGTGAATGAATTTAGAGTTGACGAAATGTGAAGTGGACCATGCTGATTTCCTGCTGTTGTTGGTAGTGGTGTGTGTGGAACTGCATGGAACTACAGTGATGAGGTCCATTCTGCCTCCAGTCACATTTTCAGCTCTCTCTTCTGACCTTTCTCCTGCAGTTCAGCTTAATTTTGATTTTGCAAAATAATCATCAAGAACAAATACAGCATGCACATGTGTTTCTGCCTGTAAAAACAAAATGTGATCATTCAACTGTTCACGTTAGTGTAGTAGGTTATCGGTTGCCATGAAAACATTGATGGCTTATCAGTTTGGTTGATCTAGAAAGTGAGAGGCATAGTAGGAATAAAGATTCGGCTTTTCTGGCTTAGCTAGAAACGTTTGATTTAGAGAACAAATTTGCCACGGAGTGATAATAAAATGACATAGTCTGTATATGAAAGAAGGCCACAGTGTTACCCATTGTTCATGAACTACCATTTTAAAACCTTAAATTTAGGAGTCTTGTTTCTTCAACCAAGACATGACCAGATTTGGATCACAGAGTAGGAGTTGTTAGCTAGCTAAACAACCATGCTGGATGATTTACTACTATATAAAACGGGATCCTTACTCAAATGTATCAAATTGTTTGCATTCTCAAGAAATATGGCCGGGTTGTGATAAGGTTTATTTTTAATTTTAATAATTTTATTTCATGATCATTTCAGTGTTTAATATAATAAATACTTTAAGTATTTATTATATAAATACATAAATAAAGTTATAGAACTGTAGACTACAAAATTAAAACAATGAGAAAAGAGCAGTTTTGGGTGGTAGATCTCTGTTTCCATGACATATACTGTAAGTGTCCCCTTAATGATACAATCCTCTGATTCATTGTTACTATAAAAATGTTGAATACACAAGCTTTAATGGTTGGTAGCATTAGAAAGATTATCAGTGTGAGAGAAAATGAAAGCCAACAATTATCATAGAATTGGAGCACCTGGCTTGTTTAGCTGAAAGTCCCGTATCATTTTACAACCTATAGTTTTGATGCGGCTAATGCGCTCTTGTTTATTTGTGATTTTGATATTAGCCATTATTATGGGATTATAACAAAGGAATGTTAAGTGCAGGTTAATGCTCTTACTCAAACAAGCCTGGCAGTGCGTGAGAGTGGCCTTAACAGTGTATATATACGTGTCTCTTTGTGGTTTTATGCTGCACTGGATGTTCATTCATGTATAGCTCTCTTTGAGGGTTGTGGATGAAAGGCTCTAAGCACTTCTGACTGAATGAAGCAACAATACAAACATCACGGCCTGCTTGTTTTTATCTGGCTTTGACGTCACCGAAACCCACAATCGCCATTATCAGTGCAAGCAGGTCTCTCTTTTGTTCACATAGTCAACTGAGAATCGGTAGTCAGACAGATCATCATTTTTTATCACTGGGGCAACCAGAGGCATGATCAGTTGTTGCAGTAAAATATGTTCGAAGCATGAGATGACAGACAGAAAGGATGAGATAAGGGAGAGAGAAGAGGAGGAAGTACAAGTGAGAAGAAACATGATTCCCACTGAGAGGCATGAGAAAAAAACACCAAGCCCCAGCGACTGCAGGAAAGATGGTGACAAACCGTTTTTCTCTGCACTCAAGTTTGTGGCTGATGGACAGCTTGTTGAATGCGCTTCGGGGAGCCCAAGGGATTTCTGTATGTTGCCCCAAACATATTGATGCAGAAGGAAGCCCGTTCACAACATCCTCTTGCACTCTCAGTGATGCTTAAAACCCAGAAATACTCAGCAAAATACATATGGATTAAAAAACGGGGATGCTGTAATAACGGTTTAAGGTGGTGTTTGACGATATGAAAACAAACCCAAGGTGGAAGTAATTTTTTAGCCATTGTAAAGATGAAGAAAAAATGCTTTTATTGTGAAAAGCCTCTTGAAAGCGCTGAGTTTTGATCCATGTAAACTTAAAAGCCCTTTAACATCAGCAAATTTGTGTAAATATTTTGTTCATTAATGCAGCCGTTTACATATTTAGTTTAGAATGGGTTCTTTATTGAATTCCACACGTCGTGACACTTGCTCAGATTTGGAGTTTAATTTTTCGCTGTAGAAAGAAGTTTCAGTGTACAGTGGACGCTAATGTTTTTGTCACTTTTTAAGGAATCAAACTCAAAGTAATGTCAGTACTTCCCAGCTTTTATCGCTGCATGGCCATACTCTGTCCCGCACTTCATATTAGCCATTGTTGATCAACACACCTTTGTTGCTGCCACGGACGTCGCACACTCGTACGTCAGTGTCATGAGACACTCTCACAAACAAAATCACGGTTTAGTAACGCAGCATGCTTACGGGAAAGTAACAGTAATCTAATTACTTGTTTTGCAGTAGTAATCTCTTACTTTACTCATTACTTGAAAAAGTAATCAGATTACAGTAAAGCATTACTTGTAACGCATTACTGCCCATCTCTGATCATATTTACAAACAGAACAAGATCAGTCAGATTGCAACTCCCTGGGTAGGGCAAATGATATATGATATATTACTCGATAGGGTTTCTTGAAGGTAAACTGTAAAACTGTGATTGCTCACCTGTCCAAGTTTGAGAAAAATACACATTGCAATCTACTCTTTCATTACTTTGTCATGAGTGCTCCTTCCTCAGTGTCAGGGCTAATTAGTAGTTAGGAATAAGTAATGAAGTCATGTTGTAAACTGCAGCAAAATAGCTCAATAACAGCTTCTTTTGATACTTTGTCAAGGGCGCGAAAGGCTACACAGGGTCCTTTTTTTCATCAAGGAGGGGCTTTGAGGGGCCTTGCAGGGTTTCCGAGGCTTCATCTTACTTGGCACACGATTTGTTTGGGCAGCATGAAAGCATTAGATGGAACGTCGCCAACAAGCCAATGTTATATAAATTTAGGGCCTTGGATGCAAAGTTTTGCTAAGGATTCAATTTCGGAAGGGTAAAAGAAGTTGTGACTAGGGATCTTGCACATGAGGATGTGGAATTAAAAGTTCAGATAAATAGCACGGATCATAAAGTGCCTTAAGAGAGCTTATCCTCCTAAATTCAATACAGCTGCGCTTTTAGAAGACTTCATAAAGTTCGGATTTGTGTCAGCTGCAGGTAGTCAGAATGTTGGACAGTAAGAGGAGGAGGTTAGAGATGAGATAAAGACATGCATTCTTATCTCTTCTCTCCCCTTGTTTACTCTAATGCGCCAGTGAAGCTGAGGGCAGATCGACTCAGGAGTCAACACCCGGTTCAGGCAGATTAACTCGCAATAAGCTCATCTTCATTCATCACGCTGCTCGTCTTCGTGACGCACGCACACATGCACAAATGCCCACTTACACACACACACACACACACACACACACACACACACACACACACACACACACACACACACACACACACACA